AATAGAATAGAATAGAATAGAATAGAATAGAATAGAATAGAATAGAATAGAACAGAACAGAACAGAACAGAACAGAACAGAATAGAACAGAATAGAATAACAGAGTTGAAAGGGACTTTGGAGGTCATCTAGTCCAACCTCCTGCTCAAGCAGGAAACCCCACACCATGTCTGACAAATGGCACTTGTGACTGTTTGCAGTATCCCACAATGACCAATCAACTAACAATCGGAATAGAGCTTGGAGATCATCTAGTCCAGCCCCCTGCTCTAACAGGAGGAAACCCGATATCATCTCAGACAAATGGCTGTCCAGTCTTTTCTTAAAAACCTCCAGGGATGAACTTCTGGTGGCCAGCTGTTCCACTGGTTCATTGTGCTCCCTGTGAGGAAGTTTCTCCTTAACTCCAGGTTGCTTCTCTCCTTGGTTGGTTGTTTCTTCTCCTGCCTTCTGGTGGCTTTGGAGAATAATTTGACCCCCACCCCCCCCCTTCTTTGGGGCAGCCCCTCAATTCCTGGAAGATGCTCCTGTGTCTCCCCTCTTCTTTCTTGTCCCCAGACAGGCCAGACCCAAATCCTGCAGCCGTTCTTCCTATCTTTTAGTCTCAGGGCCTTTAATCGCCTCCGTCACTCTTCTCTGCACTTCTTCCAAAACTGGGTTGCCAAGCTGCCGCGTTGCCACAACAGAGCGAGACGAGAGCCGGCCCCGTGGTGCCTGGACCACGTGAGGAGCCCCACGGGACGGGCTCTGAGTGCAGGGGCAGCCCTTGGTGCCAAAAGGACTCTGCATGCTTGCAGTCGAGCTTTTGCAACAGGGCCACAGGGGGAGGTCCTGGGCTGTTGCAGAGCTGTAGTTGCCAGGTGTGGCTGTGCCCGCTGCCTGTTTTCGGGGGTGCAGGGGGGGGGGGCTTGTTGGCATTGCTAGCGCGACGGAGCTGCTGAAGAGCAGCTGCCCCTCCCGGCTGGCTGTGCAGGAGGAGGAGGAGGCGGCTGAGATTTCCTGCCTGGGGGTGACACACCTCAGTTCCTCCTCTGTTGGGGAAGCCGGGCAGGCCCCGACAATTCTGCCTGGTGTTCGGCTGTTTTGCACACGTTTTTGCACATCCTTGCGAGATGCAACTGTAATGCGGCAACACCCAGATTGCAAATGTTTAGGAATGCCATTCTTTGCACGAGCAGTTTCATGTTTTCTTTGCATTTAGGGCCATAGTTTTTCTTCTCCTTATGTGTTGTTATTAGTTGCAAAGTTGTGTCCGACCCATCACAACACCCCATGGACAACGTTCCTCCAGACCCTCCTGTCCTCTACCATCCCCTGGAGTCCCTTTAAGCTCACGCCGACTGCTTCCGTGACTCCATCCAGCCCGCTCCTTCTCTCTTGTCCCTTTCTTCTCCTCCTTTGGCCCTCCCTCGTTCCCAGCATCCGGCTCTTCTCCAGGGAGTCCTTCTTCCTTCTCATGAGGTGGCCAAAGTCTTGGAGTTTCCTCTCCAGGATCCGGCCTTCTAAAGAGCAGTCAGGGTTGATCTCATCTAGGACCGACCGCTTGGATGGCCTTGCAGTCCAAGGGATTCGCAGCAGTCTCCTCCTCCAGCCCCAGAGTTCAAAGGCCTCCATTCTTTGGCGCTCAGCCTTCCTTAGCGTCCAACTTTCCCAGCCATACATTGCAACTGGGGAAACCAAAGCCTTCACTCTACGCCCTTTTGTTGGCCTTTAGAGTAGACCCCCCTCTTCTTTGGGGCAGCCCCTCAATTACTGAAATAGTGCAATTAGTCACGTGCAATCTCAATTAATGACCGCCATCATAAAATCGGCCACAGTCGTATGGGCGATCCACTTAAAACTGGCTAGACTTACCACCAGAATTACGGGCTAAGTTATGGTCATAAGTCAAAGACTTCCTGTATGTTCTTGGTAGCTTGAAAAATGGGTGAATTGTCAAAGAAATCATGTCTTGTGTTCTTTGGATGTGTTGAGCTCGAATATTTGTTGTCGCGCCCGGCCAGTTGGGTTGTGGGGAAAACTATCCATGGATATATCCATGTTTGAGGCCTCCCCACCAGGGTTTCTGGTTTTAACACACACACACACACACACACACACTGACTTTCCACATTTTTCAACCACCCATTTTCTGGCTTCCCTCTAGACAAAATCCTGGAAGACCTTTTTCACCATGGTCCACTGGTCCTTGCGACGACGCAGCTCCTGGGTGCAGTTGGCCGGACACGAAGGTATGAATTGCACAAGAATCTGTGGGGTGGCCAGGGGGAAGGTGTGGGGAGGGGGATCAGGAACCAAGCCCCAATCTGAGACTGAACAGGCCGGGGAGTTAGTGTTTCTCGACTGTGGCAACTTTAAGATGGGTGGACTACAATTCCCAGAATTCCCCAGGCGGCATGCTTTTAGATGGGTGGACTACAATTCCCAGAATTCCCCAGGCGACATGCTTTAAGATGGGTGGACTACAACTCCCAGAATTCCCCAGTCAGCACACTTGAAGATGGGAGGACTACAACTCCCAGAATCCTCCAGCCACATTGGGAGAGGAGTCCAGCGGTTTTCCTTCCTTCTCCTTGCAGGCAACTTCAAGCCCAGCGAAGGGGGCCAAATCCTGAAGAAGTTCAGCGCCGTGGAGGCAGCGTGTCTGTCGGAGCTGATGACGGACGCCCTGCGCCCTTTTGTGCCCACCTACCACGGGGTGGCAGAAGTGGGTGGCGAACGCTACATCCAGATGGACGACCTTCTCCGCGGGCTCCAGCACCCCAGCATCATGGATTGCAAGATGGGCACCAGGTCTGAGCGGCCTTCCTCGCAGGGCGGGCGGGGCGGGGGTGGGAGAATGGGATCGGGGCCCTCTTTCATTGGCGGATCCCTCTAACTCCGTGATTGCTGACCTTTTTCTCATCACGTGCCTAAGTGTGTGCGCGCGCAGGCAGCAGCGCGCAGGTGGGCCTGCATCCATAAGGCAATGTGCACGTGCCCCCCTCCCATTTGCCCCACCCCACGGTGGATGTGCACGCGACCCCACCTTGCTGCCCCACGCATCGGCACACAACACCACCACCCCCCGCGCCCCGTTTTGGGCCTAGTAGGCCTCCCTGCAGCCTTCTGGGAGCAAAGATGGGGCCCGGGAGGTGCGGCTCCTCCATGCCCCCTTTTTGCTCCCAAGAGGCTGCAGGGAGGCCTACTAGGCCCAAAGCGGGGAGCATGTGGAAGCCTCCCCGGTCCCCCTGGGCTGTTCCTAAACCCCCCCGGCACGTGTCTCACGCATGCAGCCTGCCCCGCGTGTGTGCATGGCAGAGACTTGAAGATCAGCTGGCTGGCGGGAGGCGCACGCAGATGTGCAGCAGAGCTGAGCTGGGGCGATGGCTCGCATGCCCACAGAGCGAGCTCTGTGTGCCACCTGTGGCATGCGTGCCGTACGTTCGCCATCACGGTCCTAACTTATCCGGCTGTTAAAAGAGACAGAGGGAGATTCCTCCTTTCAGACCTGCAGGGTTTTATCTAGAACATACTCAAGCGTGGTCGTAGGTCGAGGACAACCTGTATTTGTGAGTGAATGGGAGGGAGAGTCCCAACTTACCAAGGCATCTTTTCCCTTTCCTCCCGGTTGGCCAGAACGTACCTGGAGGACGAAGCGGGCAAGGATCAGCCCCACGCAGCCCCCCGGCGAGACCTCTACCAGAAAATGGTGAAGATTGACCCCTGGGCCCCCACACCGGAGGAGCACAGCCAAGGAGCCGTCGCTAAGCCCCGTTACATGCAGTGGAGGGAGAGCAGCAGCTCCAGCACCTCCCTGGGCTTCCGGATCGAGGGGGTTACGGTGAGTGGCCGAAGAAGGGCCCCATGCGGATGCGTGCGCGCACACATGTGTCGTGTGTGTGTGTGTGTGTGTATGTATGCCGGAGAAGCAGGTCTTCCGTCAACAGGGCAGGATACACGCTTTCCAAACTCTCTCTCTTGAGCTGTGGTGACACAGTGGTTAGAATGCTGAAGTGCACCCTGACTCTGCCGACTGCTAGCAGTTCGATCCTGACTGGCTCAAGGCCGACCGTCCTTCCGAGGTGGGTAAAGTAAGGATCCAGATTGTTCGGGGGGGAAATACGCTGACTGTGTAAGCCGCTTATAGAGGGCTGGAACGTGCCGTGAAGCGGGATATAAGTCTATGGCTATTCTATTCTGCTTTTATTTTATCTTCTGATTTTCTATTCTATTCTGCATTCTATTCTATTTTCTGTTCTATTTTCTATTCTGTGCTGTACTGTGCCGTGCCATTCTATTTTCTATTTTGGTTGACTCAGCCTTGCATCCTTCCCAGATCAGTAAAATGAAGACCCAGATTGTTGGGGGCAACAGGCTGATTTTGTAAACCGCTTAGAGAGGGTGGTAAAGCAAGGTGAAGCGGTATATAAGTCTTAAGTGCTATTCCTATTCTAACCATGGCAGCACAGTGGTTAAAATACAGAATCGCAGACTAACTCTGCCCCCTGCCAGCAGTTTGATCCTGACCATCTCAAGGTTGA